ACAAATAATTCCTTCAAAAGTCCCTTTAAAAAATTATGAAATCCATTCACGAGGCTATCGAATTGTGTTCACTTTAATCGAGTGCTTTTCGAACCAGGAAAACACAAACAGAAGAAGCACACAATATACTGAGAGATGTTTGCAGGATTTTCCCAGAATAAGAAAAATCAAGCGATTCGATTTCGAAGTGATGAATGGCGAGTCATGTGCACCGCCTGCCAAAATTAGCGCAAAAATTCACATAAACAAGATATTTGAGGACTTTCGACTTATGCCAGAAAAGAACACGACTGGACTCTGTTGAATTAATATTCTTCAACGCTTGAAGCCATATCCCTTCGTCTGGTGTTAAAAAAAACTCAATTGCCCAGCACCCAATGATTTAAAAATTCCTCAATTATATGTATATTAATTTTCTCATTTGAATTGCTCTGGGAAAGAATTTTGCGCCAATGTCAACTGAGTACTGCGATAAAAACTTTTCGACACCCAACTGAGCCTTTCCGATTATCCGACCGATTTTCTTTTGATTGACGAGTAATTTTTCATTAATTATTTTAAAAATACAGAAGCCATGAAACTTATCAGTGCATTCGAATGCTGACCATCCTCATTATGCTTATTAACACGAATTATACGAGAACTATTTTTCAGCACACTAAAATTACCCGCTTTATTGGCAAAGAATCACGATTTTTGCGTAAGAAAAAAATCTGCGAAATTAATTCGAGTTCCACGAGTGAAATAAATCACCCAGTGATGGACAGATGATGAAAAAAACTTCGCTTCTGAAAATCGACGCAGCATTGTACCTGAATATAAACTCGAAAACACTGAGTTGAAATAAATTAACTTCGACTTATCGGTCAAATTCTTAATAAGATACAGTTAATGAAACAAGAGTTTCTCTTTTGCATCATCAGTAACTCATACAGTGCGCAAATTCCTCCGCCGAAATGTTGCCTTACAGGCTTACACAAAAAAAAGAAAACTAACTCCTATTTCCAATTTTTACCTTTTCAATTTGGCAAAAATGGCGCAGGAAATTCGAGCCAGTGTCGCAAGCAACAACAAGCAGCAGCAACGTTCGTCGTCGACTCGCAGTAGTGCCAATGCTCGTCACGCGGAGGGTCACAAGTATCCGCGGCGTCGATCGACACCCTGCGACACCGTCGTTCGTGTCGACAATGACGGCACCAGCTTCAAATGCTCCGTGGCTTCTGCGTCATGCTTCGGACAATCCGACGAGGCCGTGGATTTGCTGGACGATGATGACAATGACGTCGCTGCTGATGACGATGACAGTCAATGTGAGTTGAAGTCGTGCATCGAATTTCTCGATTAATTATGTTTATTTGGTAAATATGCCGGGTTTTCGCGGGGTTATCGAAACATGCGTCATCCAGAAGGGAAACTGAAATGTAAATGGCAGAACTACCACATTTTTCCATATTTCACAAGGTCCATTTCCATACTTCCTCGAATAACGAGTATGCAGATTGTATATGCGCAAAATTTTTTGATTTCGTTCAAAAAGAAGAAAATGTGTAAAAATTATTTTTCGCGTCTTATACAGCATAAATGGAGGTGCTTGCGCTAGATGTGTACAATTAAATACAGTAATTTATATTCAGGAACCTGTTCAAACTGCTCTCCAAAAGATAAAATTGTACGTGGTTTATGAAACCGTCAGAGGTGTAAGTTCATTTTTATCAATAACCTCGTCTGATTCATTCATAGTTTATGTACAGAAAATGGATAATTTCTTGATGATTTCAAAAGAAATGGAACATACATTTTCAACATTGTCTGCATACTTTTTCTGAACACTTCAACTTATACTCAAACTTATATCCGTCGAATAATGTACTTCCATTCACTGCAAACATTGTTTAAAGACCCGTAATTTTAGCTGCAGAAAAACTGCAATTTTCAGCCGTGTACTATTGTAATAATGCCTGTGTACCAGTAAAATTAACCGTTATCGAGGAAATTATCATCAGAAATTCCATCCTCAGACTCTGCTGTGGAAGAATTGAAAATCATTAATCAACAGCAACACAAAGAAATAATTTTGAAAATTCCCTGAAAATGGGAAAACTGCTAGGAAAAGTTCTTCATAGGCTTTCCATTTCCGTTTTTCGACATTCTGCTGCTGTATATACGATGTACAAAAGGAATCTTTGTGAATTATTCTCAAGCCAGAAAGGGGAAACCATGTAAAGTAATTATTAAAATTTTTAAAATGAAAAATACAATTTTATTGTTTTAGCTGTGAAATGTGATTGTAAATTGTTGTTTAAATTAGAAGAAAGCCTTTGCTAAAGATTAATATCTGCCAGCATGTATTTTTGTGGGCTTGTTTTGTATTCCAAAAAAACCCCTAAGGTGATATGACTGATGGAGATCCAAAAGGGCTCTGCCGCAAAATAAATGTCAAAAAAGACACGCAACANTTCAAGTGAAACCTAGTTTTCAGCAACAACAACAACAACAAATTTGAAAATACGCTCGTTTTCTAGAATAATTTTTTATTTTTCAGAAAAGAAAGACGCCCCTCTTTAAATTTTGCTGTTTCTCACATGTTACACTTTTTTTAAACAGAGGTGAAAATGCTTGAATGGTTTTTTTATTTCCCTCTTTTTCTCCTTCCCCGCTTTCCCATTTTTTTTTAATACTTGGTCGTATCGCTGTTGGTGTTATATTGTTGTTGTTGTTGCTGTTGTCGTGGGCATTGTGATTGTTGAATAACTCACCTGTTGGACGCGTGTACCCCATGTACTGTGCTGTGCTGTATACTGTATATACTCATCGTCAGCGGGGAGGGCAGTGGCGCGGGGCCGGCAAAAGCCGCGCGCGTCGTCCCTGGACGCCGCCATCTACTCGACGACGGCCGCAGCCGGGATCCCGCTGCTCCGCGACTCCTACGCCCAGTCCGCGCTCCGCAAGCACAGCTTGCCGGCGTCCATCTACGACGACCACGGCGCCCTGCTCGCGGCCGCCATGACCGACCCGGGCGCCGGGTCCCTCTTTCATCACAACGAACACGGCGACGAAGCCGGGCCTGTAGTACCTCATCGTGAGCTTATTTATTATTAATATTATTTTCATCATCACTGCATATTGTCCTTCATCCTTCCTTCATTATTAGTTTTAATTTTTTATTATTTTATTGTTGCTGTTGTTGTTGTTGCGAGTGTATATATCTCTGTTCTGTTGGTGTATGCATCAGTAGTTTTCCCTTATTCTGCGTGAGTGATTTCTTCAACAGAGAATGAAGAGAAAATTGTTGATGCAGTGGTTGGTTCTCTATATATATATATTGACCAAATAACTAATTCGTGTCTGATAGTTTGAACGCGTCTCATTATTGTGTGAAACTTCATATGCTTGTTTCGTGAAACGTGCTTTCTCTAGAGATGTATAATCGAAAACTATTCAATCAGTTGCAGACCACTCACAAACAATCCTTATCTTGAAAATCAGTGTTTTTTCCCCATTAATTCATCAGTACTGTGGTATTAAATTGTGAGTGCGAATAAATCAATGCGTCTACAATTTCGGTATTTCCAAAAATCGTAAGCGCTGATTTTTTCGACAAATTTGGGGGCTTTGAGAACGGTGAAAATGATCCTAATATTCTTCTCTTTTTTTACTTTTGCTTTGATTTTAAAAATTCAACGTTATCAGCTCGAACCGCGCTAAAGTGTAAGCTTTTTTGAGCCATCAGAATTTCGTGATGCGAAAGTTTCATTGCAGAGGTCTTTCGTTGAGCGGAGATTCATTGGGATATCAGTGATACTTTACCTCGGTTAACGGACTCTTTGTATGGCTGAATTTTCAAAGTGCTGTGATATTCGGACTTCCGCCTATTTTTGCTTTGAATAAGATTGGATGATAGCGTTTCAAATAAGGTGTACTTTTCGTGTCGATTGATGATTCATTATGCATGGAAAAATTACAAAATACAGTACTGAGAAAAATGTGACAGTGTGGCATCATTATATTTTCGATTACATTCTTGTTCTTCTTCTCGAGTCTTCTCATGTTCAGTCGCGCTTCGTGACGTGAAAGAAAATTGAAGACTCTTCACAGTAGGCTTTCGTCATTATGCATACAGTCCCGAAAGAAAATTAGTTTCCATGGAGAAATGCGACGAATTGAATTGGTTCATTCGAAATAGGGTGACTATAAAATTTTCGAGGCGGAAGTCTGCAAAGGAAATTTCACAAATGCCATGATAACCGAGAGTCCGCGGGGAAATCGAATAGCTTCAAACATAAGTAAGCTTGCGGTTTCCAACGAAATAAAAAATTAAAAGTTGGGTATCCACGAATTGAAGTAGATTATCCATGAAACATAAAATTTCCATTTTTATAACCGTCTGTCATTTTCTTTAGGCCTAGAAACCATCACGAGCCTTTTATAATGCTAGGTTAATTTCCTTTGTCAAAGTGCAGTACTTGTATACTTTTTCACGGTAGGTATTCGATTGAATAACCAAGCACGTCTGTTTTCTGAGGAACCACTGCGTCAATGCATTGAAACATTTTATCTTGATATCTTCATTTTCTGGAATTTTATTCATCCCTTCATCATCGTTTTTTGAGCCAACTTGGTTCCGGTAATGGTATTACCGTAATTCAACCGTATTTTTTCCATTTAATTCATTTTGCATATGATTCAGTTGTTGGAATCCACAAAAACTGGAACGATTTTGATAATGACTAATACTACGTCGCAATTTTGTAAGCTTTCGAATGCCCCAATATAAGCGAAAAATCTTTCGGGTAAAATATCTGTAAAGATGTAAGAATCTTTTTTACTGTACGATATCATTCTTGGACTACAGTCGAACGTGATGAAATATTCCCAATGCACAGCAGCGAGATCAACTGCTTTTTCCTGATTAAATTAAAAAAATATTGATTATTCTGTACGCTACTTTTAATTGTTCGTCAGCTCCAAGGAAATCGCATTCAATTTATTCCCGCCGTTGTAGGCCAATGATTTCCTTGACTAGACGGCATTTAGATTTATTAACTATTTTTTTTTCCTGAATCTAACAGTGATTTTTGCGCAGTTCAAATGTGTTTTGGCTGGAAAAAAGTAATCCTAACATGACATGTATTGTTTTCATGGTCTATATATATAGAGCGTGTTTCCTGGACCTAGAACCTAGAGTGTTTCCTTCGAGATAATACTTTGCTGCTTGAATTTGTCCTTGATTTTTTTCCGGAAGTAGCTTTTAAAGCCCCAGCACAATAACATTACACGCTTCATGCGGGGATTTCGGAAATCCACACTTGACGTACGGAAAGTTGTTGTCGTCGACCGTTGAAGTTGGCTCATGTTCGCAACGATGAACGTCATTTGCTTCACATTTCTTTAGTTTTTCGATTTTCTGATTTTTTTGTTGCAAAATAGCTGGAGCAGCGTCTGTTGGCAGCAGTGGCAGACCAGTGAAACATGTGCGATTGTCAGTGCCCAATGAGGGTTCAGTGTGTGGCGCTGGTGGGCGACGAAATAGCGCCAGGTCCAGGCGCAGAAGAGCCGTGGGCACGCAGGACTACAAATCCTGTGCCCTGGTTCAAACCCGACTCAAACTGGGCGACATCATGTGAGTCGAGGCCTTCTTCTCTGTCAAACTCATTTTCTTCTGAAATATGGATGTTGTTTTGGGTTGTCGAACGAGCATTTAACGAGCAATTCCCTCTTTTTCGGGTTACCAAAAAGGGAAGGGTCATGATTGGGGAGAGAATTTGAGCATCGCGTGGGATTTTATTGATTTTGGAACACTTGACTGCTTCATACAATTTACAAGCATTGTTATATCTTGAATTGATTCCGGTTCAACTCAGTATAAGAACTATATATATACACTAAAGAAGAATAGCGCAGTATAAGTCCCTCGAAAATCTCAGAATATTTCGAATAAGCTACATGAGTGAATTCAGTGAAAAGAACATGCAGTAGAACTCATATTGGGCTTTATTGAATGTACCAGCAATATTTTCTGCAAAACGCATCCGCTTTCGCAACTAAATACAGGACCAATATTCTGTGCAGCATATACAAATACAATGTTACAAAAAGAAATAAAAATTTCCCTACGAAATCTCCCAGTGGTGTTCATCCTGTCCATGGTACCCGTCCGTGTACTGATAAACATTGGAACAGGAATCGTAATGCCACCCGAAAAACCACTCCCTTCCCTCGTGATTGGAGTCAAGAATACCTCTGTTATCCTTGTTAGTGAAAATAAAATAAGCTCCGTTGTGCTGTGGATTCAATTCCCACCAATTACTTCTCATCTCGTCACGACTGAATCTTGTAAAGGTGAAGTATCGTCCATTTTCATGTATGTTCACGGTCCATGTCCTGTCGAAATCTGCCTCAGACGACGGACACGCGGACAAACTTGACCTTCCGCCAGAAATGTAATTACCTGCGTGAAATTTGATCCCCAGGTATTTGTCCAGTTTTCGACTTTTTATGAATATGTGGCTATTCCAAAACAATGCTCTAATGCTGCTGGGGAGTTCGTTCTTCGCACGCAAGAGTAAGTTTTGCTCTTCTGTGGTCGCGTCTTTAACATTCTTCAACGTTTCCCTGATTCTGTAAGCAACCATGAGGGTTTCATGACCATTCATGCCGTAATTCTCTTCGATGACAGTGAGAAGGCTTGGGTATCCGACCACAAGGTTTCTCTGGTACGGAAGGCCCGCTATGAAATTGATGATGTTTTCGGTGTTCCCGATATTGTTCGCGTAAGCCTCCTTGATCAATCTGCTCATGATTTTGAGGAATGCTTCGAGGTAATTTTTCGCGAATTCCTTCGCTTGATGGAAGTCTCTATTGCGGATATTTGCGCCCCAAGAGGAAATCAAGTGGTTCACATCATTTTTCAGACTTTCAGCCAAGTAACTCCCGCCCGCCACATCATCTACTTTTTGCGATAAAATCAGTATTTTGGGACTTCCATTATCTCCACGCTTTTGCATTTGATCGTACAATTGCTCATAAACGATGACTCGATGACTGAAATATGGTAAATCGTTGCCAAATCCAAGTATGTTGTCGAAGGCTTCGTATCCTTTATGGGAATATGATTTCGCGACTATTTCTGGGAGGTGTGCGGGATTGTTTCCAAGTTGCTCGTACACGGAAATAGCACTTCTGATATTTCCAGTAGCAATTTCAGAGCCACAGAGTGACACTGTAGTTGTTTCCCAATGAGATTTTGAAATTCGCAACTCCTGATCTTTTTCGTAAAGTTGGTATTTTAGCGCTTGTAATTCCTCGATAACGATGTCCACTTGCCGGTTCACTTCAGCATCAACGCTTTTTCTAGTATCGTCCAATTCTCGTTTCAATTTGGCGATCAGTCGATCGCTTTCGGCACGGAATGATTGAAATTCTTCGAGAGAGACTGAACTTAGTGTCGCAGAAATGAAACTTTGAAGCATCTTGTTGATTCCGCATTGAATCAGTTGTACCAATTTCTCACAGTTTTCAGTATGTCCGGAGGAAGTTTGGCAATTAACAGGGTTTTTGCGCGATGGAGCTGAATTTAGAGCGTGGTCGATTTCTTTTTTCAGGCTCGATAATTTATCCGGAGACACAGAACAAGTTTTGCGGGTCGTGAATTGCGGCGATCTTTTCGTGCGACGTCTTTGGAATATTTTTGACGATGTACTGTTTGACGACGTGTTTTCTGGATTCCAACGAGGCCTATAAAATCCTGCTAGAATCTCCAGTTCTTTGGAGATATCTTGCAAACTAGATATGACATTATTCCGGAAATTTTCGTCAATTGTTATTTTAATGGCTGTGGATTCTTTGGCGTCCGTTTCATAGAACGATCTTGATTCTTGTTCGAAATCGTTGAATGAGAAGAATCGGCTTCTTCGTTTTGTCGTGTCGATGAGTTCATGCCTGCTTTTTGAAAACAGCTCTTCGTCTTCGGTTGCCACATCAGATTCATCAATGACTGTTCCAATCTCAGAAGTTCCCGGAGTTTCCATAAATGATGCAGTTTGGTTTGATATTTTTCTTGTGCCATCTGAAATAAAGTTTTTGAAAAACATGGAATATTTTTAGCGATCGTGAGGCATACTTTCTGTTATTCATTGACGAAGTCCCCGAAGGCTCTTCAAAAATCAGATGGGCATCCGACTGAAAAGAAAATGCAGTAACTCATTCTAATGCACGAAACCCGCGAAGAACTATTTCGAGGATGTCAAAGAATATTGTACTGCATGCGTGCGGAATGTTGTGGGAAGTATTGTAAAATTTAGAAAATCAAAGTACAGTATGTTTTTGCGTCGGTTTTTTTTATTGCGTTATAACAAAACCTCTAAAGCCACGAGCTCTATTCCCAGAAGTTTACGACGATCCTAATGAATATCTCACGACAGTTTCTACCGTGACTGAAATAAATCAATTGTTATCTAACAATCATTCCACCAGCAATTCGAGAAAAATTTACATGCGTAAGTAAATATCGAAATGATTTTTCCAATGACTCCACGATGATACTAATAAAAAAGGTGATTGAATGAGGTGAATGATCGAACAGCAGCCGAATAAATGTATGCTTGGTTTGCTGCAAAAATGTCTCCGAAAATAATTTCAACAATGAATTTCAACAAGCACGCGTATATAGGGCATCTGAAGAATTCAAAAATATACGCAATTAACTCAAACTCCTGAAAAAGTAAGAAAAATGTGTATGGCGAAATTTCTCAACTATAGCACTCATCGTTTTTGGCTGATAAAGCCTGGAAGTTTCTGAAAAAATCAAGAAAAATACCAAAAGGCCTTCCAGCAGTATGTAAATTAAGTGACACTTCTTGAAATAATCAATTCACTTCATTGAATCAAGTGAACATCAGTATCCCATTTTAAAATATATATTCTTAAGGTTTTCTACGTCGAAAACCATTTTCGATGCTTATGAAAAATCTAGTGAAAAATGAAAACGCTCGAGAATTTTCAAAGATAATTAAAATTTTCTCTCATACAGAATATATCAGGCGTTACGAAAATTATTGAAATCTCAGCTAAAATCTTGGGAATGTATTTTCATGCGCATTCATTAAAAATTGGAACGCATTTCACATAGAAGTTTATAATCTTATGTTTGCGGAATTACCTGACAACACCAAGCAGCTGACGAATGTTGCAGCGAGCAATTCCGCGGCAGGCACGATTTGCATAGTTTTGTTCTCTTGTATGCACAGAGCTATTCGAAGGAATGATAATCATGAAATGTCAATCTCTGCTGTTTCTTCATAAAGTAATAGAAAAACTGCAGAGCACTTGTTTCCTTGCCGTAAATCGGAATGCACTCACGAACTCTATGTATTTGTTGGATTTCCGACGACTTTCAAAACACTGATGGAAATTTATGAACGGATTCACACGTTTATTTCTACCAGGACACGTACAGCTTTCAAAATTCAGAGCAATATCTTGAGAAGTCGAAACCCTTTTTAAAAGACGAGCTAAGATGACACACTATATGGAGCAGTGTCTCCAGAAGCCCTGAAAAACAGACACTGAAAGTTTTATGTTAATACTGTTTACCCAGGTTCGAACTGAAGTATAAGCCGAACACAAGGGGTTCTGTCGAGTTTGCGGAGCAAATCAAATTTTTCGCTATATTACTGTATATTCTATGCTTTTCCAACTGAATCAGATTGGCCAAAAAAATATGTTATTAAACTTGAAGGTGAATACGTAGGTGTTATCATACCATCTGCTTCACTGCAGTTTCACTAATCAAAAGTGTACTGCAATTTTTACTTACAGTATTTTGAAATTGGCTTGCCTTATTGTAAGTATATATACTGTTGTCCTTATTATTGCAATCTAAGGTTTTACACACAAGGGTTACTAACTACAGATTACAAAGGACTGAGTCACTTGTGTGGCTTCAAGTACTTTTATTCCTTTCCAGAACACTCACACAAGGCAATAAATACAATGTCCAAACATACAATACAAGACTAGACAAATACAAGTATTATGTTTCCAGGACAAGGGGAATCCAAGAACATTCCAAGAACAAACTCCAGGTTAACCAGCTAGCTTTACTTGGAATGATTCTTTAAGGTTACTTTACCCAGTCTACACAAGGCAAGGTTCAGAACACGAATTCCCCGATGCAGGAAAAGGATCGACGAATTTATGTAGGTTATGTGTCTATGTCTTTACTCGTCCCTTTTGTGTTAGTTGTACATACCTGAACGTACTGGGGTAGTAACACCCAGTCAGATTGGAGATACTCCCTCCTAGTAATCAGTGTAAGAGAGGAAGGAAATATCCATTACTGTTCCATTAAATAAAGGAGGGTCATGAGGGAATCTGCACTTGGTGCAAGAACTGTCACTCAAAGGAAAGAGTGAATGCATGCCAAATGGACTTTGCAGCTAATGTAATAATTACAAGTTACTGCATTACAAGACATTTGGCTGAGACATTTCTTTTGGGAAGAAAGACACCTGCAGGGATTTTCTCCTTCTAGGAAAAATGCCTGCATTCTACAAAAAGGGAAAAATGAGTAGAAAGCAATGACTAATGGAAGACGGTTGATCTTGCCATTGATTTGAGAGAGTGGACAAAGTGTGCTCTCTTTTGAGTAAGGCTAAACAGGGGTTTACCCTTTGTAGGATAACAACATGATGGAGCAGAAGAGTCAGATTGTAGCAAGTAATTTAAAATGGGATTTACCAGGGTTTCTGATTGAAAATAAAGATATTTTGGAGATTTTTTAGGCTCCAGATATGGGGAACTTTAGTTGAAAAGTGAACATGGCAAAATAAACTTTTGGGCAAGAATTCTTCCTGAGAGGGGATTAGGTATTCAAGGCATTTGAGAGCTCAGACTGTAACATTTGGATCCGGTTGGGTTTGAAGTGGTTCCAAAGATAATATAAAGATTTTTGGGGGAGGCAATATGCTTGAGTTTAAGGGACATATTATTCTAAACAAACTTTGCAAAATTTAACACAATAATGTTGAAGTGAGACATGTATATATGTAAGGTGTGTGTAGGCTAGAGACACTGGACCCAGACCCTAACATTTAAATTGTAGTGGAGTTATGATGGATTTTGGAACATCAACGAAGATTGCTTTTAGGCTGTAAGTGAGCACCATGAAGAATGTAATGCTGGTTAGACAAGCATAAATGGAAAATACAGCATAAATGTTTTTGTGTAAGAAATCTTGATAAGAGTGGAATTTTAAGGTTTCAAGTTGATTACATGAGGAGAATTCTCAATGATTTGAGAGAAGTGGAAAAATGGGGCATCTCTCTTCCATGGGGTGAGATGCAATTTTTTTCTGTTTCAAGCACATCATTGCAATGAATTCTATTGCTTTTTCTGCTTGCCAAATTTAAAAGAGCTTTGGTGGTATGTTGATCTGTATGAAGAAGGGGTGAATCTCTGATAAAGAGGTACAACTATTCACCATTCAAAACACCCCATTTCAAGAAACAAATTTAATTCGATTTATCCCTCTGTAGAAGTAATCAACATTTAGAGGAATTCTTGTTTTAAAGGCAATGTAAAAGAAAAACCAAGATATGTAGCAGAAAAAGAAGTAGTGGGGATTGTTTATGACATTCCAGACAAACACACAGCTCTTAATGGGCATCATTAGTCCTCAGCATTTGGGGACATTATGCAAGTTGGAAACATTGTGATCAGAAAGTAAATTTCATGATACAGCATGCACAAAAGAAAGGGGTATAAACATGATGGAGCAGAAGGTTCAGATTGTAGCAAGTAATTTAAATGGGGATTTACCAGGGTTTCTGATTGAAAATAAAGATATTTTGGAGATTTTTCAGGCTCCAGATATGGGGAACTTCAGTTGAAAAGTAAACATGGCAAAATAAAATTTTGAGCAAGAATTTGTCATGAGAGGGGATTATGTATTCAAGGGATTTGAGAGGTCAGAGTGTAAGATTTGGATCAGGTTGGGTTTGAAGTGGTTCCAAAGATAATATAAAGATTTTTGGGGGAGGCAATATGCTTGAGTTCAAGGGACAGATTATTCTAAACAAATTTTGCAAAATTTAACACAAAAATGTAGAAGTGAGACATGTATATATGTAATTTGTGTGTAGGCTAGAGACACTGGAACCAGACCCTAACGTTTAAATTGTAGTGGGGTTATATTGGATTATGGAACATTAATGATGATTGCTTTTAGGCTGGAAATGAGCACCATGAAGAATGTAATGCTGGTTAGAGAAGCATAAATGGAAAATACAGCATACAAGTTTTTGTGTAAGAAATCTTGATAAGAGTGGAATTTGAAATTTTCTAGTTGAGTACACAGCAGAGATGGGTATTGAACTTCAAGATACAGTATAATGAACCAAAAAAAGCAGACCTTTTCATCAGAATTCGACTGGTCCCCACCACTTATCGGTGACTTATTTCTCGTGTGAGAAGCAAGAA